CATTGCTGAGGCGACAGCCACGGCTGGAGGGCACAGATGGGTGTCTGGGGTTTCTCACATTTGTTTGTTAACAAGCTAGTAAATTGGTAGTTCTCGAAACAAAACTCCATCCTCCTATCAAGTGCTCAGAATCTTACTGATTTTCAAGATACTGCCTAGCATTCTGACAGCCTTCCAGAGTCCACCTCCAGGGCCACGTTTACAGCCACCAAAACTGCATTCTCATTAGGGGTGTACCTCACCATCCCTGCATTATTCCTGAGAATCCAAGTATTCTGTATCACAGAGGCGACTCACGTGGTTGAAGATACCCATAAATTCAACTTGCTGATTACAAGTTTATAGACAAAACTGTCAGACAAAAAGATTGTTTAAAACGTGAGACTTAAGTACTCTTTGCAAAAGCAAAGGTGACAGCTAGGGAACAGGTACTGTCTGCTTACAATCTGTGTGGAATGCACGGGGTACAGGGCAGGGGTGGGAGAGAAGAAAACATTCAAGAATCAAGTATAAAGCCTCTGTGGTGCTCCAGGTGGGATTTGGTCACCAAACGCAAATGTGATCTCTCCAACTTGTAGATCTACAACTTTCCTGTCAAAAAAAAACCTGCCAAAACTAAGAGACTACCTCCCTGCCATTCCATTTCTTCTGTAGAATTTACAAAAAAAAAAAAGCTTATAGGAAAAGGTACAGCAGCTGTAACACTTGTCAAACCTCTTCAGGCAGCACTATCATTAAATATCATTTATCCTTCAGGAAACAGAACTTGCCCAAACTAAACCATTCCCAACTTCTTCAAACTTGTAAAATCACTCTGTTGTTTTCTCTCACTCAGTGACCCCACACCAATTAGCTGGTTTTCACCTGAGACAGGATAAAGACCTTCCAACTTTCTTCAGATTTAAAAATCCAATGGTAATAAAAAACAGAACACAAAAGTTGAGGCTGGCAGGAAAAAGAAATGTAGGAGTGGGAGGTACACCTCTGAAGTTCAAAGTTGTCCAGCTAATCCACTCATCTACTGCTGTTCTGCAAATAGTTGTTTTTACTTAATCTCCCATGACAGCATTTAATTATCTAAACGGTTTTGGAAAGCTACTACATAAACAACTGTTCCTTGCAGCTCCTGTTTATAATGACTAAGTTTTTCTCCCTGTGACTGTTCGAAATTCTTTTATTAAAGGCAGATTGTTGTTTCCAAATTCATCTATCTTGAATGCTATAAAGATAAGGATCACAAGGAGATAACTCACACAGTTCATATGCAAAACTCCATCAAGTGTTTCTGAAAGAAAAGTCTAGGTTTGGACTTCTCATGTGTTTAATCAAAGTACTAAATGTCATGCAATATTATTTGAGTGACTCTGTTATTCAGACAAATCAATAACTCTAATTTAGATTCTGATGAATAAGGACTTAAACCGATGTTGCCACTACATTTTTTTTTACCTTAAGGAAAATTGCATTTGCAGAGCACAAGTCCTAGGCAGGAAAACAGAAATCCAAAACATTGTAAGGAACTTCACACTTGGTAAGAATTCATGGTCTCAGTAACAGCCATTATTTCCTCAGGTTGACGCATCTCAGAAGACAGGATTTGTAAAGCTGAAAACGTTTTGGATTGCCTCTAGTCTTCCACTCGGGTGTGCAGCACCAGCTCTCTGGGACTCGTGCTCCTAAGCACAGGAGTGCAGACACAAAGCTCTGCTCACACAGCTGTAAGTCACTGACCACAGTGACAACCCAATCTGTGCAAACAGGATTTTAAGCCAATGCAGCTTATTTCCTGACTAGGTTCTACCCAAACAAGCAGCCTGCTACAGGGGCTCAGCTGACAGGCAAGGACATCACTCTGCTCCAGCAATTTATTCCTTCTGTCTTTGTAAACCCACATGTGAATCCCTTTATATTTAAGGTCACATAAACTCGGGAAACTAATTTTAACTATGAAATATTTCAGTACTGCAGCCTGCTTAACAAAAAGCAAAATGACCTTGTTTCTCCTGCCGTGCTGCTGCATGGAACACTGAACACAGAGTCCTTTGTCATATTTCAAGGAATCCATGTACATAAATGCCTCATTCTGGCAGAATTTGAAGTTCAATATCTTGTCAATACTGATGTTTGAGCTCTAAAAAATTACTGAAGAGAGCAAGACAGCTCTATCAGCAGTAAAATTTATACTACTTGGACCATTACTTTAAATTATTACCTGATAAGTCACTACAAGCGTTTCAATGTGCTTTTAAAGTAGAACAAGTAAACCTATCATTGTACAACTTACACATGTGACAAAGAATTCCAAAACCTGCAGTGGAAGGGAGCAGAGAAGGAGCTGACTTCCCAAATTCTTGTAAGGTCTTGACAGTGGGCATGAGCAGATTTCTTCCCCTTTCAATTCCCATGTACTTCATTCCCCTGAATGAGCTACACATAGTCCTCCTTTCTCAAGTCTCCAAACTCAGCTTTGCACCTCCTCACATCCCTCTGTCCAATATTTCTCTCTCAGAGGTTTTTACTGGAAGGTGAGGGAGCACTGCCAGTAAGGATCACTCAGTGACAGAGCTGCAGGGCTGCAGAGTTGGGAAGCCCACCATGCTCAGACTGCTGGGCATCAGTGTGGTGCTGCTGCTGTTGACACAACACCCAGTGCTCCTCCAATTTTCAGATTCAATCCCACTTGAAAATTATTGTGCTGAAGGCTCCAGCACGGATGCTTTGTGAAATTTTGGACCAGGCAAAAAATTATGTCAAAGCGATGCTATTCTCTCTCTGTTGTACTCTGTTGCATACTATGATTGAGCAGGTTCAGCTACTCATATATTTAATTTTAACCAGTAGAGGTGAAGGGTTGACCTGCTGGAAAGAATCTCCATGCAGAAGGACCTGGGAGTGCTGGTAGAGGAGTTCAGCATGAGCCAGCAATGAGCCATTGTGGCCAAGAGACCAATGGCGTCCTGGGGTGCATTCAAAAGAGTGTGGCCAGCAGGCTGAGGGAGGTTCTCCTGCCCCTCTGCTCTGCCCTAGTGAGGCCATCTCTGGAGTATCAGGTCCAGTTCTGGGCTCCCCAGTCTGAGAGACAAAAGGAACTACTGGAGAGAGTCCAGCAGAGCTACAAAGATGCTGAGGGGCCTGAAGCATCTGTGACAAAGAAAGGCTGAGAGCCCTGGAGCTGATTAGCCTGGAAAAGAGAAGCCTCAGAGGGGACCTGATAAAGGCTCATCAAGAGCAAAAGGGCTCCTGGAGGGGTAAGAGGATGAGGCCAGACTCTTGTCATTGGTGCCCATCAATAGGACAAGGAGAAAATTCTCTGCTGTGAGGTTGCCCAAGCCTGAAACAGGCTGCCCAGAGAGGTTGTGGTGTCTCCTCCTCTGGAGACCAAACCCACCTGGATGCCATCCTGGGCATCCTGCTGTGGGTGACCTGCTGGGGAAGGGGGGTTGGACAACATCTCCAGAATTCCTTCCTGATTCTGTAAGTGCTTCACCACACCATTATCACTGGCAGTAACATTACAGTGTTGCAACCAAGATGTTAGACATAAACAAGCTCCATCAATTTACAACAGAAACAGAAGCTATCACCTCCAACTCCCCTCAAATAAAAAGACACTTAAGTCCCATATACTCCATTGGCAATATTAAATAAACTATATTTCACAAAGAGAAAGACATATATTATTTAAGCTTTGCTGGGTAAGTAGAAATATTACCCATGCCTCCATTCCAAACAGGTGCCTCGTAAAAAATTCATGCCAGTGGAATGGCTTGGTGCAGCACTTCCCAGCCACCTCCTCAATTATACATGAACACACAGCTACCTGCACGAAACATGCCTGAAGACACACACTGCTTCAGATCTGTGATTTCACCGGCTGTATTGCCAAATAAACAATCTGGTATCTGTGAAAGTATGGCTTTTGTAAGGGTCTGAAGATCAGTGGTGGAAGAGGATAATGAATGAGAAAATGAGCAGAGTGTAACTCAGGATCAGAGCAGCGTGGGGTGGAGGTGGGGAGAGAAAGGACACCCAAAGCACACGTGACAAATTCAACATTCTATAGATTTGAACTGGCTTACAAACTTAATCACCACATAACCATGTGGTGTGAAGGCTATCAGGATGAAAATTTATAGCAAAAAAGACTGAACTGATCCTTATTGATTTGCTGGGCGTTTTAATTACTACTATTATTCCAGGATTAGTGAACTTGCATTGTTCTCATCCAAGACAAAGGTAAAACACAAGACAAGTGTTCTTGCAGTCTAATAAAATACCTTTCAAAACTAAGTTTTCAGGCAGACAACAGCAACAATACATCATTGAAAAGGAACTCCTATATAACAGATAGTCATGGCCAAAAAGGATCACAACAGACAAAGCCAGTTTTGTTCTATAATTTTAAGGCTACACATTCTGGAGACACCAAAAACCATCAAGCTGCACAAAACACATAATTTATGCATAAACATAAATAAACATAATAAAAAGATGACATCACTGTCACTTTTATCCTACCTTCCTTTTCCTTTTACTACATTCACTTGTAGCAGCTTGCCTCCATTCACCCTCAAATCCTGCAGCATGATCAACGTGGCAAGTTCTGACCTTGCAGATTTGCCCATGGTGCCATGAGGTTTACCTGGCTGCAGGACAGGTGGCTCATCCCATCCACTACTACCTTCTGCCTGACTTTATTTGCTCTGCCATTATCCTTCCAAGCAGAATTCAGTCTGATTTTACAGCGCATCTGAGATTCCACAAATACCTAAGTAACGAGGTTGGATTTAGGCCTCCCAAGTTTAAGTTTTACTTCGCATTTTATCTGTGGATCACTTACAGCAGAAAAGCCAAATGAATGAGCTTTTTCAGCCTTTAGGTCTTCATGCATAACTTGTGACAAAACCACGAGTGGTCGCAAGTTAAAGCCTTTAATGACAGAGCTTTTTCACTGGAGAAAATGTAACTCAGTCAGGAAAGGAAGCGAGAGGGTGACTTACTGTGGAGCTCGCGGTGGATGACATCGACGAGGTTGGGCTCGTCCCCCCACCAGAAGATCCAGAGCTCCTTGCAGTCGGGGCGGACGTCGCGGCGCCAGACGCAGAGCAGGTTGGCCTGCAGGCAGCGGATGAAGCTCAGCAGGATGGGATCGTCCTGGGCCGGGGCTGAGATGATGGGGCCGCAGTCCCCGTGGCCTTCAAAGTTGTACCTACGCCATTTGATGCCTGTGAGCTCAGCCTGCAGGGGAGAAAGGAGAAATAAGACAGCCATTAAATCACTCTGTTTCAAGAGTTCTACTCCTGGTACTAGTTCATTTCGGTTTTGCTCTTTAATAACTAGAATTTAGCTCTAAGCAGATCAAGTTAAAAACTTCTGATTCCCACGCTCTCCTCTTTCCCACCTCAAAGTAAAAGAATTTTACAAGCAGTGCTGACCCCTGCATTTAGATTTTTCACCACAACCTGACTTATTTCCAGCAGTATAATTTTTATCTTATTGTATTAATAAGATAAATATACAATATTTATCTTATTTGTAATCTTGCACATCAGAAACAAAGCAGCAGGGAGAGGGACTG